ACTTCTTTTTTTATTGCTCGTATGTGATTTGGGATTTGATGATGTTATTGGTCTACTGTGTGTGTTAAGGTGTTGCTTTGACTCCTAACTTTTTGTGCTACTGTCGTACTCCTTTACTATTATTTGTATTGTTGCTCTTACCTTCTTTAGTAGTGGTTCGTATCCTATTGTTTTTGTGATAGTAGCTTCATCCCTACTTTGCTTTTGGTGTTGTTGTGTAGGTGTGGTGGCGTGGGTTAGCAATGTAGCTATAAGGTCATATCCCGGGGATGGGACGGGGGTAGTAGAGGGGTAGTGTAGCATCACGTGTGCGTTTCGGCTCATGGAACATAGGGACCCTCACAGGTAATTTAATTGAGTTGGTGCAAGTTCTCAAGAGGAGAAGGATTCAGGTGGCATGCGTGCAAGAAACCAGGTGGGTGGGAACTAAGGCGCGAGAGGTTGATGGTTTCAAACTGTGGTATTCAGGTTCATCTAGGGGAAGGAATGGAGTCGGCATTTTGGTGGCGCCGGAGCTGCAAGAGTTTGTTGTGGAGGTGAAGAGGATTAGTGATCGTCTCATGTTTATCAAGTTGGTTTTGGGTGGGTGTGCGATCAATGTCGTGATGTTGGCTTGGCAGACGAAGTAAAGAAGGAGTTTTGGGACGCCTTGGGTGGGGTGGTTGTTGGTTTTCCACTGACTGAGAAAGTAATCATTGGAGGCGACTTTAATGGCCATATTGGAGAATCGGCCGAGGACTTTGAGGACGTGCACCGTGGTTTTGGCTTTGGCAGCAGGAACCCAGCGGGAGTTTCACTCTTGGAGTTTGCCAGAGCGAGTGATATGGTGGTTACTAAATCTTGTTTCCCTAAACGAGACGACCATTTGGCTACATTTGTTAGTGGAGTGGGGACAAGACAGATCGACTATCTTCTTCTGTGCAGGTGTGATCGGGTGCTCTACAAGGATGCCAAAGTAATTCCAAGTGAAAACATCACTACCCAAGACAAGCTTCCGGTGATGGATGTCATGATCAGGTGGGTGAAACATAGGAGAGCTTCGAGTGACAACACACAAATTCGGTGGAGGAGACTAAGTGGGGAGAATATCTCTGAGTTGATCAGGCGAGTGTAGGAGAAAGGTGCATGGGAATCGGCCGGAGAGGCTACTGATATGTGGGCGCGGACTGCTAACTGCATCAGGGAATGAGCCAGGGAAGTGTTAGGTGTGAGCTATGGCTCGGGGAGTAGGCGTCAGGGCGATTGGTGGTGGAGTGATTCAGTCCGAAGTAAGGTGGAAGCTAAGAAGGTGGCGTATTTGAGGTACATTGGCTGCAATGTTGAGGAGGAAAGAGCAGCGTTATGAGTAGAGTACTAGAAGGCATGTAAATAAGCTAAGTTAGAGGTTACGAGGGAAAAGAACGCCGCTTTTGAATGCCTCTACAAGGATATTGAGGAGAAAGGCAGTGTTAATCGACTGTTCCGGCTTGTTAAGGTGCGTGAGAGGAAGGCCCGAGATCTGGATCACGTGAGATGCGTGAAGGGCAACGATGGTAGTGTGTTAGTTGAGAGTGCCAAGGTGGCTAAGCGCTTGGGGGAGTACTTTAGTGAACTCTTAAATGTGGGAGGAGACCAAAGGCTAGTTCTTGATGAGTTGGGGCAGTCCGGGGCGTGTCGTGTGTTTTGCCGGCGCATTTTCCAGGAAGAGGTGGTTCGGGCTCTCCGCGGGATGCATAGTGGGAGAGCTTTGGGACCAGATGAGATTCCGGTGGAGTTTTGGAAGCATGCGAGTCGTGGTGCGAGGGTTTGGTTAACCAAACTCTTTAGTGTTATACTCCAGACAGCAAGGATGCCTGATGAGTGGAGGGAGAGTCTCTTGGTCCCTCTATTTAAAGACAAAGGTGACATTTAGAGCTGCGAGAATTACAGAGGCATCAAACTGCTTAGCCACACCATGAAGGTTTGGGAGCGAATCATTGAGTATAGGGTGCGGAAAGCCAGAAAGGGGTTTGCATCTCTGAGAACTAGTTTGGTTTCATGCCTGGCAGATCGACTACAAAGGTCATTCATCTCGCGAGGATCAGAGGTTAATGGAAGAGTATAAGGACAGGAAGAAGGACATCCATATGGTTTTTATTGACCTTGAGAAGGCGTACGATAGGGTGCCAAGGGAGGTCTTATAGAGGTGCCTTGAGACGAGAGGAGTTTCCATTGTGTACACTCGCGCGATCAAGGATATGTACGATGGGCTATGACAAGGGTAAGGACTTCCGGGGGCGACTCTGAGTCTTTCTCGGTAAGGATGGGGTTGCACCAGGGGTCTGCCCTTAGCCCTTTTTTGTTCGCCTTGGTGATGGGCGTCCTAACTCAAGGTGTTCAAGAAGGGGTCTCATGGTGCATGCTTTTCGCGGATGATAGTGTGCTTATCGACGACACACGTGAGTGACTAAACGATAAGTTGGAACTATGGCGCCTTGCCCTTGAGACCAAAGGATTCAAAATTAGTAGGAACAAGACTGAATACATGGAATATCCTTTCAGCGGCCGGGAAACAGAACCAGAAGTGGAAGTTAGGATTGACTCTCACCTAGTACCTCAGGTAGACAGGTTTTGTTATCTTGGCTCGGTAATCCAGGCCGATGGCGAGTTAGATGGGGATGTTGGACATCGTGTTAGAGTGGCTTGGGCCCAATGGCGGTTAGCTTTAGTGGTGTTGTGTGATCCGAAGATTTCGCCCAGGATGAAAGGTAAGTTCTATCGATCCGTAGTCAGATCTGCTATGTTATATGGGGCAGAGTGTTGGGCAGTTAAGAAGACTCATGTCCGTTGTCTGCATGCAGCGGAGATGCAGATGTTACGATGAATGGTGGGAAGACAAGGTTGGATAGGATTTCGAACGAAGTTATTCGACGTCACGTAGGCATGGCGCCGGTGAAAGATAAGTTGCGGGAAGCGAGGTTGAGATGGTTTGGTCATGTGAGACGGCGGGATGCTGACGTCACGGCCCTTTACGGAGATGCGAGAGGATTACAGTTATCGGGGGAAGTAGGGGAAGAGGTAGACCTATGAAGAATAGGAGGGAGGCGATTAGGTAGGATTTAGGACTTCTCAGCCTGACTGAGGATATGACCTTAGATAGGAACCTTTGTTTGGAATCTTTTGCTATTGCTTGTACTTGTTGCTTGTACTTGGCTCTTTACCCGTGTTATACTGTGTTTCCTTCCATATTTTTGTGCAGGTTGAGCTAGGGGTCTCTTGGAAATAGCCTCCCTACTTCCGAGTAGGGCAAGATCTGTGTACACACACCCTCCCCATACCCTACTGTAGTGGGATTCAACTGGGATGTTGTTATTTACATGATTAAATTTTAATCAATTTTTAACATATTTTTGTTAGCTATTTGAGAAAATAATATATTGATGTCACCATATCTTTTGTACTCCCTTCGTCCTATATCTTTCTTCCCGTTGCGCAAAACGAAGAAAAATCCCAAGTTTTTTCAATCTATTTTATTTAAATACTGATATAACAATAAACAATAAAACATACATATTTAAAAACTACATCAAAAGTTCAACAAAACAAGTGGTGACAAGAATATTTTATTTTATCATATAGGCCATAAAAAAACACAAATAAATACAAATTCCCGTGAAGTTGAAATAATAGTGCTCTAGGAAGAAAGTTTTAGGACAGAGGGATTAGAATTTTTTATATAGCTTTTAAACATATAATTTTTAATTTTTAAATTTACAAATATAATCAAATAAATTAAATTAAAAATAATTTAAATTAAATCTCGTAAACGAAGAATGAAGAAAGTTTTAGTTGTGATCTGTTTCAAAAAAGAAAATCCTCATTTGTGGCCACAGAGTAAAGAATAAAGTTCCACTTACAGTGTAGCCTTGAATTGAAGGCCAACTCAAGTTTTTCTAATCTCCTTTTCTTCTTCAATCTTGGCTTCTTCACATTCAGACTTTATATATCAAGCTAATACAACACTTTCTAATAATGATACCCCAACACTATGTAATATTTAAAAAAATCTGAAAGAAAATGAGATAGAAAATAATTTTTCTTATTTGGTTGGAGCAAAAAAATCAAAGGAAAAGAAAGAGTTTGGAGAGCCAAAAATAACAGGAAAGGATGAAGAAATGGTTTGAAGTTGATACTAATAAATACAGTTTGTGTTGTGGGTTCTACGGGGATATAGTAAGCATTTATTTTGTGATTCCGAGCATGCCAAGAAGGTTTTCCAAGTAATATTCACAACAAGAAATTATATTTTTTGCCACACTTATTTTACCACTCATAGCTAATTGTGGTAAAGTAATTGAATCATTTTTTATTGCTCTACACCTATATATGTGACAATTACATACGGAGTATTTACTAATCCCCAACTTTATTTGGTGTACTTAATTAATCTCTAAAATTTCATTCCCCAAAATTTCATATGTTGGGGACCTTGTTGGGGATATCTAGTTATCCATATGTTGGGGACCTTGTGGAAGAGATATGTAGTAAACTAGCAGAGTCTTTTGACAATGACTATCTGTCTGAGATGGCCTGGGGCATTCCAAGTCTTCTAAGAATTGGAATATATGAAGGTCTGAAGATATGAAGTTGGTGTGGTTCAATCTTTTTTCAAGTTTGATGGCAGGTTAGTAGAAAAGTTTACGCTTTATATATTGCTCATTGACGATTGTGTACTTATGCTCTTTTAGTATTCCCACCGTCGCGCAATATTTGTCCAGTATTCCTTTTTGGGTCGTCTCACAGTATCCGTCTACTTTCTTTTTAAGGAAACAAAAAATGATATAAAATGTTCATTTTACCCCCACTATCTACTCTCTTTCTTGTTCATATCTACCTTCATTATCCTCTATCACTGGTCTACTTAATGTTCTATTTCTTTCTGGTTTTTGGTTGCTTTAGTAACTGTTAGTTTTTACTGCTATATGTTGCTTGTGGTTGGTTATTATGAAATAGTCGAGGAAAAGGAGTGAATAGGGTCAAAACTATAATTTTCACAGATCTACATGCCAATAATAAGTCTCCAGTCAACTTGGTGGAATAGATTGTAAATAAAAAAAACATAGCATGTGTAAATGAGGATGAGGTACTTCAAGTGTTGTTTTGTTGCTTCTTTATCTACATGTGCTGCCATGTTATGCTCTCATTAGTTTTGTAGTTTGTATTTGAGGTTGAGGCACAAGTATTAGCAAGTACAATGTTAGTAACAGAAAGAAAACCAACAACTTATAAGTCTAAGATATTGGAGTTTGATACATGGAAACCAAGTCGTGTGTTCTCGTAGGTAGACAATCACACCTGGATACCAGTTCCGCTCCAATCATTCACCTGCCTTATTTGCAGTTTTTGAAAACACCTGGATACAGTCCCTGTGATTGTGCACATGGCCTAGTGCTATGCAGAGACTCGCATCGCATCTGGGTGACGAAGTATATGTGGTTTGCTGAAACCAAGCATAGGAAACTCATGCAATTAGGATGGAAATGTGAGATGAATAATTTATGAATCTCTATCTCTCTCTCTCTCATTTTGATATTTTGTTTGGTATCTATCCTAAAGCTTCCTGAACAACCTGGGTATTTTTGGGTTAAATTTTTTAGTGTATACTCCTAGGTAATTTTGGGTTAAATTTTATCATTTGCTCTCATTGTTAGACACTGAGAATACCCTAGAGTAAACTCCTCCCTCGGTTTTAGATTTAGTTGCAAATTTTTCGAAGAAGATTACAGATTGAATGTCAATTGATGATCTGAAATAGCCCTTCAATCTCGTTCTATTCTCTAGAGAGAGAGTAACAATTGCAACCCTTTTGTCTGACGGATTATAATCCCATGGCCATGGGGGCTCTGTTTTTTTTTTAACCTTCACTTCACGTTCTTACATTTTCCATTTCCTTAAGGTTTTTCATTAATTGTTTCTCATTTGGATGCGTTCTGTTATTAATTGTTTCTCATTTTAGATAATGTTGTTTCTGACTCGCTAATTATGGTTTCTTGATGATTGCTAGTGGTCTTTAGTTTGTGAGTTCCAAACTAGGGTTTTGATTATTTGTGTTAATAGGAGGGTATAGTTAGTGGTTGAAAACCATCATTATGTAGTGAATAGATTTTGCAATCTGATTAAGAACCGCTAAGAATGAACCATAGAAAGTATGAAAATCTATTTATTTGTATGTTTAGTTATCTACTTCTTTTCCTTCTTTTTTGTGTGCATATTTATCTTTTGTTTCTTCTTATAGTATTAGTTGAGCTAGTTGATATATTTTTATTGGAAGTTAAATAATGAAATTTAATTCAAATCTGTAACTGCCCCTGCGAATTACAATATCTTTTGCAATTACAATAGTTTGTTTATCAAAATGAAATTAGGATTAGAAATATTTTGGAGAATTAGTTGATATCTTCATAAATAGGAGTAACTTTTGAACCATCCCACATGGGCTAAACACTCTTACCCAAACCCTTAAAGCACCTTGCTTATGCATAATGAAATTAAGGAAAAGGTTCCTGATTTCAAATTGGTATTTGTTCATTTAGATACATCCATATCAAGTGATGGTACCAAACACATGTTGTCTATACCTTGGTTTGTGTGCTCATCAATTCCTGCTCTTTCTGAGTTTGTGGCCACCACCCTATTCATATCAAAGAACTTTCAGGTGGAGGAACTGTTTGCATTTGGGCCAGATGGCAGGATTTGTTTGGTTGACATATATCATATCCTATATAGGAAGGGAATATCTCGTTATCCATATGTCGGGGACCTTCGGGAAAATATACGTAGTAGCCTAGCAGAGTCTTTTGACGGCTATATGTGTAGCATGGTCTTTCTAAAGAATGATACCAGTTTTAATTTGATGGATCACTCTTATTTCAGCAATGCACTGTATTTAAGATATCTTTCCGTGTTTTGTTAATTCTCAAGTGGTAGGGTGGTAGCCATCCTAATTTTCTAAAGTTTCAGACTTTCAGTCAAGAGATTACCTAAACTCTTACCAGACTTGCTCTGAATTAAATACAGTTTTTTAATGCAGATTCGCAAATGGTTGTATCAAGATCTTCAGGAGTACTTTCTAGTCGGCGACTCAACAACAACGGCCGAATCACCTCCTTCCAGATCCTTCAAGCCCGACCCTTCCTCCACCCCCTCCCATTACTGTAAGCCTCTCGTATCTCCGCACCAGGGCCTTAGTGCTATGCTTCTTCACATGACCAAATCATCTCAACCTGACCCCAAAACTCTTCCCATTGTTCAAAATGGACCCTAGATAATTAGATATACAACACCCCTCTAGAATTCCATAAAAGTAGGATCTTTGGAGAGTATGTGTACGTAGACCTTAATCCTATTAGAAAGTAGAGAGATCATTGCCAAGAGACCCCTTGAGCAATTTCAAAATCATATAACACAACATAAAAGATCAAAATGCACACTGACACAGGAAACAAAAGACACAAGCATATTATAAAGAATTCATAATATTTTCCAAAGATTATATAGCACGCTAAAGGCAAGGGAAACACAAAGAGACAAAAGACACAAACAACTGCAAGCATATTCTAAAAAACTCAATATTCTCCAAAACTATATAATATAATTTCTTGTAACGCCTCTGCTGAATTTATGTTGTGTTGTTACTGCATTCAAGTCTTCAAGGTTTATTAACTCTTTGTGAAATCCATTTGAAGTCTGAGTGATACGCACTGGTATGAAAATCTCCTTCAACATCCTTTTATTCTCTTCATTGAAGCTTGTTATTCTTGTGGTGACACCGAGTCTTGTGGTAAACTCGTCACGCAATCTATATGCAGGTTGTAGACCATACAACTCTTCGTCACCGATCTCTATGGTGTTCAACTCTTGAGTGCAATTCGCTACCGTAAGAGTTGAAAAAGAAAAGAAGCACGATAACTTTTAAAGCGAATGGATGTGAACGGAAAAAATGATATAATAAACAAAGAGCGGAATTACCCAGGTATAAGAAAATGTTACCTATATCCAATATTTGTGATTTAAAATTCAACTCATGGGCTAGACTACATCCACAGTGAATATAGTTTATGTTACACATGAAATAACTATGGACGTGCCATTCCCTGATCCAAAATCTTTGGACTGAATCATATTTGGGGTCTCGCAGACTTGACCAGACATCACTTATTTGAACAAAGTCTTCTTTTACATACTGAATAATTCAAACGAAGCATATAGATAACAGAAATATGCTTCGTTTGAATTATTCAGTATGTAAAAGAAGACTTTGCTCAAATAAATGCTATCTGAACAAGTCTGCGAGACCCCTAATTTGATTCTGTCCAAAGATTTTGGACTAGGGATTGACACGTCCATGGTTATTTCATGTGTAAGATAAACTATCTTCACGGTGGATGTAGTCTAGCCAAGGAATTGAATCTTAGATCACAAATATTAAATATAGGTAACATTTTCTTATACATGAGTTATTGCGCTTCTGTTTATCATATCATTTTTCCTGTTCACATCCATTTGCTTTAAAAGTTATCGTCCTTCTTTTCTTTTTCTTTTTTCAACTCTTGCGGTAACGAATTGCACTCAAGAGTTAAGCACCAAAGAGATCGACGAGGAGGAGTTGTATGGTCTACCTGCATACATATTACGTGACGAACTTACCACAAGACTCGATGTCACCACAAAAATAACAAGCTTCAATGAGGAGAATGAAAGGACGTTGAAGGAGATTTTCATACCAGTGCGTACCACTCAGACTTCAAATGATTTTCACAAAGAGCTAATAAACCTTAAAGACTTGAACGCAGTAAACAGAAGTTTAGTAGAGGCATTACAAGACATCCTATTATATAGTTTTGGAGAATGTTATGAGTTCTTTAGAATATGCTTGCAGTTGTTTGTGTCTTTTGTCTCCTTGTGTTTCCCTTGCCTTTAGCATGCTATATGATCCTTGGAAAATATTATGAATTATTTATAATATGCTTATAGTTGGTTATGTCTTTTGTCTCCTAGTGTTTTCTGTGTCTTCAGTGTGCTTTTTGATTTTTTATGTTATGTTATATGGTTTTTATATTGCTCAAGGGGTCTCTTGGCAATGATCTCTCTACTTTATAGTAGGATTAAAGTCAGCGTTTTGAACTAGTATAGCAAATTATGGAAAGAGTTTTAGGGTTAGGTTGACATGTGAAGCAACATAGCAGTAAGGATCTGGTGCGGAGATACGAGAGGCTTATAGTAATGGGTGGGGGTGGAGGAAGGGTCGGGCTAGAAGGAGGTGATTAGGCCGTTGTTGAGTCGTCGACTCGTCGTCCAGTCCTTTTGGTGGTGGGGACCAGTGGCGGAGCCAGGGAAGAATTCATGGGGGGCAAAAATTCATTTAAAAATAAACAAAATTCAGAATAGTAACTACTTTAATTGGCAAAATGCGACTAAACATACCTTCTATTTCTGCAAAGGAGTAAGAGTTGTTTGAGGCCGTAGAAAATTTTTTCGAGATGCCAACTTTTGAAAGCGCTGCATAATAACTTCATCATCAATGCTCCTAAAAATTTCTTTTCCCAAATTGCACAACAGACAATCTGATAGAAGCTCATCTCCCAAATGGTTACGTAAATCAGTCTTGACAATATTCATTGCAGAAAAACTCTTTTCCACTGACGTTGTTCCAACAGGTAATATCAATGCCAATTCTATAAGTCGATATACCAAAGGAAAATATGTGTGATAATTCATCTCTACCATCTTCTTTGCAAGACTTCCAAGATTCAATAATAAAGTAACAAAATAATATCAATAACGTTAAAACAACAATTTCATATTTCTTAATTTCTAAAACTTGAAATTACATTAACATTTATCAAATATTTAAATATCAACAAACACGCAATAATTATGGAACAAAATAAAAATTTAAAATTCAAAACATAAGCAATATTCAAAAATGTCAAATATTAAGAAACAAATTTTAAAATTTGATAAATAAAATTTACATATACGTAGACAATGAGAGAAGATCGGAAGTTTGGATGAAGGAGCATAGTAGAATTAAAGAATCCTTCGATAGTTCGACCGACTTGCCTATTGCGCCACTGCGTTTGGATTTCTTCTCCAATCACCAGTGTTGCTGTTTGAAATAATTGCTTTGATGCTTTTGCAGTTTCGCCCACCGTGGAGAAGAATATTGCTTTCGGCCTTTCAATTCGCCGTTTCTGCTGCAGTGCTACTGTATTGCGCCACTCCCCCGTTTTTTTTGGACAATTGGGCTGTTGGGCTGAGTATTTGGCAGGGTTAAATAATTTTTTTAAAACCCAATACTAAAACGACGTCGTTTTGCATTTTTTTAAATCGGCAGTTTCTTCTTCTTCTTCTTCTTATCTTCTTCAATCTGTCGGTCGGCTGTGGACTACTGGAGAACACCTGCGACGCTGCGACAATTGGGGGAGCAATTCCGGCCTCCGAAAACCGATCGGGTACACTAACAATAGTTCGCCGGAATTTCGCCGGGGGGGGGGGGGGG